ATCACTCCTACAGGAAGTAACGAAAGGTGTAAAGGTAATCAGACTCACCTCAATTTTTCTAACACTGAACCGAACTCCCCCATATTATACGTTCCTGCTGAAGGATTTGGATACAGTCTGGTTTCGATTGCAGCTTGATGTTGCCACTTCCGTTTGGTCCATTTGTTACGAGATTCGAAAACATAGTCACATCAGAAACCTCTCTGCGATAATTTCGGCCTTCACGCCATCCGTGCAGGAAATAAGAGGATTCTCAGTAGGCTCCTGTTTTAGCGCATAGGTTTTTTGCTCTGGCAGGTTTTGTTGTTCGCGGAAGGGTGCCCTTGGGCAGGGGATATTCTGTTTTGTAGTTTCCAATTGCTTCTCCGCTGGGAGAGGTTCCAAGTCCACGCTCTGACTACTAATACCCTCAGCGACAAAAAATCAATGACTTTTAAGTCTGAAATCTGGACGGAAACTCGCTTAAGTCATGACTTGTCCCTAAGGCTATAGAAAAATAGACCCTACGACCTGCCACAACTAATACAGTCTGTTCCATCAGGGGGTGATTAAACTGACGGCAACGAAGGTGTTAAACCAGTAAAGAATAAAATCCCTCCGAAACTTAGCCCATCGCCTTAATTTTCGCATTGTCAGGTGAGTAGCACTCCACGACAGTAATATGAGCCCCACGTATGAAGTGCTCGCTATCTGAAAGTTTGTCCGAATTTGCTGTGCATTGTAGAGTAATGTAGCAACTTCCACGGTATTCTTCTGTCGAGCGATTCATGGCAAAATTCATATAGAGCACCTTGCCGAAGCCTGCAAAGTAGGCCTTCAGAATTCCGGGTCTGATTACTTTTTTCATGCCACTCACAAATAGTTGCAGATACTTCTCTGACCTGCCGGCCCTACGATGTTCTTTCAAGCCCTGTTTTCGTTCTTGTTTGCGATGCTGATTCTGCTTTTGTGCTAGTTTCAGTCGCTGCAGTTGTCGTGTAATTTTTGCCTGTTTCTTTTTCTCTGGATTTATTTGTCCTTTGTGTTGTTTTTTGCGTTGCTGCAGCGGCTGATGAGCGGGTTTGGCTGGTCTGGGAGCCTTCTTTTTGCTGGCCCCAAGTGGACGCTTCGGACAAGCGGCTCCGAATCGAGGTTGACTTCGGTCCTACGGCAAATAAGAACAGAAACCACATTATCTGGCAGACACCTCTATTAAGCAAGGCAAAGCTAACGAGGTTCAAAGCATTTAATGATGTCCTCGAAGTCCGCAAGCTCTTATTCAACTGCGTGCAGTAATGGCCTACTAGTTAAACAATATATGATGCCCATGCCGTAAGCAGTACAGATCTACCCGAAGGGGTGTTGGGAATACCCCATATTTCTAAAATGAGTCATCGTACACAAAGGCGCCTGCATGAGTTGACACGCTGCCATGAGAACGCGCGCCTGACCGTAGCTATCTATCTTTCGTCAGCTCTGATTGGTCTATGTCTCCGACATTTTCAACTCACGCGGATCGATAAATACACATAGCCTTTCTAGGAGAATGACTTGCTAATCGTTAATACAGCTCTCCACGTGGTCGATCGCCTTCTCTTCCTTTCGCGTGCTAATTTTGGGACGAACGGTTGATAAAGCTCACTGTTGGTCCTACTTACAATTACCAGACGCGGGTCATAACTCCAAGAAATCGAAAGCCTAAGTTTATTTTCCGAGGTCTCGGAAACTTTAAAACATCACATAACAGTGGAATTATGATGATGCTCAAACCTAGAACGATTACTTAATTGCTTGTATCCACTGCACTGCTCGTTTCAATGTTCCCAAGTCCTCAATACGTATTTAAGTTTTCGCGCTACATACGTATAAATAAAGGACCATTTATTATTTATCAAGAGCTTGCTATTTTCATAAGCCATTAGATCGCTGTTGGTTTGATTAGAGGTTACGGTTGTGACGACTACAAATCTGAATATCTGCCTGGTAGTTTTGCAGTACATCTAAGGCCGTTGGGGTCAGACAGTATACACTACTTACAAGCGGCAAAACAGATAAGGTTACATTAGAGTAAATGCTGAGTAACATCACAATCATACAGACGAAGAAATCGAGCCTTTCTTAATCTCACCTGACTGGTTTGTTTCCTAAATCCCACAAGAAGGCGCACTTTTTCACATAAATTCTAACTCCATTCACAACGTGTTTCATGTTGCGAATCCGGTTTGGTTC